AAGAAAGAAAGAAAGAAAGAAAGAAAGAAAGAAAGAAAGAAAGAAAGAAAAAGAAAAGAAAAGAAAAGAAAAAAGAAAAGAAAAGAAAAGGAAAGGAAAGGAAAGGAAAGAAAAGAAAAGAGAAGAAAAAGAAAAAGAAAAAGAAAAACCCTGCCTGGGGCTTAGGAAGAAGTAACACAAAACCTGAGATTTGAGGGACAATGAAGAAGACTATTGCTATTGAAGAGGGACCAGTATAGGTCTGAAGTCACTGATCTCCCCTGAGAACAGACAGAAATAGTGGAAAAGCAGATGGAACATATGACTGAATACATCAAATACTAAAATTTGTGACTCAGTCCAGCTTGGAATTTGGGTAAATTTTCTGTAATTTTATGTACAAATTTTGTGCAGAAACTCTGGAGTTTTAAAGAAGTTGAGTGGTGTTTGCACATGTGTGGGCTTAGGGGAAAACAACGCAAAACAAGTGGAGTTCGAGGTCTGCCAATCAAAGTGACCCATAGTTAAATTCACTGACTTTGGTTGGGACTCAGAGAGTTTCACACTAGGAACAAAGTGGACAGGAAACCCACTATACTTCATAGGAACTGAGCCTGAAGTCAAGAATCTCAACTGGTGACTGGATTAAGGGGATCCAGTACTGCCAAGGTCCTGTCTTTTCTGCAGCAAGGTAACATCATATTTGGACTCCATTTTTCTTTAAATCCTGTCCATTCAATTTCTGAGGCTGAAGAGATAATGATCTGAGCACAGCAGGAAAATACAATGGAATAGAATGAAAACCTGAGTCCCAGAGGGCATCCAGATGTAGAAGCTAGCAATGCCAACACCAGTGTTTTTTATGTACTTTAATAAATTACAAATAAATTAAAGAGAATATGGATCCCATACTGTAACCACAGTCAATTCCCTGACCTGGTCTGCCTGAAATATGCCAGGTGCTCTCACAAATGCCCAAAACCTGATAGTGTGAAGGAATGGAAGAAGGTGATTATGGCATCACTAGACACTGTAAAAGGTGCTTTTTACTCATTCTCACTCTGTCCTGTGCACATTCTCTACATGAATAAACAAGAAAAGACTGTATGACACTTAGCAGAGAAAGAAAAATGAAGATTACAGAATTCAAGAAAGGAAGGATGAGCACAATACTAACAGAATTTGGCACAAACATTTCCTGCATGATTCTAAAAGATGTCGGAGGAGGAGCAATGTTCAGCATATGTATTCGTACAGAGGCATTTGTATCAGTGAACACATGAAGATCTTACTCAAACGCAGCCTTCCTTGCTTGTTGGTAGACTCCATGAGGACTGTCTGAAATTCCAAGATCTGAATTCCACATGTGTTGCTGCTCTCTCAGACCTCAGTGTATAATAGGTGACTTGTTGGCCCTTTTTCCTTTCTGTAAAGGAAAAAAACATTTTCTTTGGGGAATCTGAGGGTTTGGATGGAGTGAGGGGAAGAACGGGAGAATCTTGACAACAGGAAACCACTTTTCACTTTCTGAGTGAAAACTCATTTGCATGGTATGAGAGTTCCTTCCCAGAAAACAACATACCTTCCAGGTTATGAACAGTGGAACTCACAGCTCTTGGTTTTGAATAGCTGAGCTGGTCATTTATAGTCCCTGACTGTAAAACAGATTAGACAAAAGACTTTTAATAATAAATTATTGTATGACAATGTGGATGTACTTAACAGTACTAAATTGAACACTAGAAAATCATTAGGAGAGTACATTTTGTGTTACCACATAATTTAGTTAATTCTATTACAGCACAATTAAGACTAAAAGAGCTTCAGCTGGTGGCTAGTGGTGGTTAAGGCAGCTGGATCCCACATGGACTCCTGTATGATTTGAGTCCCAGACCCAGTGACTTGGAAAGTATATCCAGTGTGGTCATGCATGCGTGACACAGAATTCAGAAAGAAGAGACAAAGGAGAAGGGATAGCTGCACAGCCACTTCCCAAGGGGTCTGGGCACATTATCATTTTCCCTCTTTTTTTCTCTCCCTCTTAGTCTCTCCAGTAAGCACAAGTATCTAGCAAATTAAATAGTAAAAAACAAACAAACAAACAAAAAGTTTAAATCATTTTAAAGCAAGTGAAGCAAGTGTTAAATACCTGGTCTGTGCTTTCCATCATCAATGGAAGTAACTTTTTGGAACCCATTGCTTCTTGGTCTTCAGTGGAGCAGTTTCCTTCCAGGTCTGCTGTTTCACAGACCTCATTTTCACTTCTTGGGCAGAATCCATTAAGAGTGATAGGAAACCAAAACAAAATATTCTCACTAAAACTCAATTCTAAGCACAAAAATTTCCCATTCATATCATGTAATTTTAATCTTTTGAGATATGGCATATGATGAAAGCCTAAATCACAATATAAAAAAAAAAGCCAGAGGGCATCCTGTTGTAGAAGCTAGCAATGCCGGCACCAGTGTCTTTTATGTACTTCAATAAATTACATGTAAGAGTGTATGTGCCACCTCTGAAATGCAGCAGAATTCACTGCTCAAGAGAAAATGCATCCCACACAGTGACCACACTCGATTCCCTGACCTGCTCTGCCTGAAACATGCCAGGCACTCTCACAAAGGCCCAAAACCTGATAGTGTAAAGTAAAGAAAGAAGGTGATTACAGCATCACCAGGCAGTGTGAAAAGTGCTCCTTACTCTTTCTCTGTCTTTCTCTGTCTTTCTCTTTCTCACTGTCTATCCTGTGCACAGTCTCTACATGAATACAGTTTAAAAGCTTGTATGACGTTCAGCAGAGATTAACAAAGCTGAGATGTACAATAGAAATCATGAAAATCCTGAGGAAATGATGGAAATAACTTTCAATTTTTGTGCAAGTGTTTTCTTTTCCTATGAAGATGAGAAACAAGGCAAAACCATGAGGTATCAATATTTCCTGACATCTATAACTTTCTTGCTTATGGTATAAGAGGATAGATGACTGGGTAATAAGGGGAAAGAAAAGAAGGTGGAACTAGTTCAAGGCAGGACCCAGTGGTTTAAGTGCTATGTATCTGAGGCGGGAATGCCTATGGCCGATACAGTTCAAATCATATGCCCAGGGGCTTGAAAAACATGTTGGTGTGTGTGTGTGTGTGTGTGTGTGTGTGTGTGTGTGTGTGTGAGTGTGTATATCCTAACGGGATAGAGAAATTGGGGTGGTAAAGACTGTGGCTCAACTCTGCCCCACTGGGGGGTGCTTTTTTATTTCTCTCTCTCTATCTAGCACACATGCCCTCTGCCAATAGTGAAAACAAAAAAAACTTTAAGATAAAAACTAAGAGAAATGGCTTACTTAGTGGAATACTTATAGAAAACAGTAACCTACAGTTCACATTGAAAATCATCAGTTCCATATTAAGAGGGGTACAGACTATTCAACTTGGCTACCCACTGTCACTCATCTCTCACTTTTTTTTTTTTTCGGTTTGTCTAGGTATTGGAGGGCAGTGTTGAATAGTGTGATCATCACCCAATTTTAAAAAATGAAATATACTTCCTAGTCCCTTAAATATTAAAAGTCCTTTTGCTATTAGTACATCAGTTGCCCAATACACTTTGAGAGGAGGATTGGCCCTCAAACTCCCTGATGTTGACTATCGTCAACAAGAGAAACTGAAGAGCTCAGATCACACATAGACATAAAGGCTCAGAAGGCAAACTAGAATAAAATGGAGCAGCGAAACTCTAAGCCCTGAGTCTTTACATTTCCAACACTCACTTTGCAATCTAGAATGTATACTTTGAATGTCATTCACAGTTTCCATAGTTTCTTTAAATCTTAGGATGTTGTCCTTCAACAAACCATATGGAATCAGAAACATTTACTCATTTCTTTTATTTCTATTTTCAGAATATAATGTTCACTGCCTCCTTTCTAAAAAATGTATGTGGTTGGAGGAAGTATCTTAAATATAAGTGCTTCATCAGAGATGCATATTTTCTTGAAGCAATGTTTTGAATTCATAGATCTACATAAATATATAAGAATTAGAATTCAGAAGATAAACTTAAGTGCTTACAAAGGCAATTTTCAAGGATGTGACCTTCTACATACAAAAATAAGTAGTTTTCCACATGTGAGGACTGCTATAAATGTGGGTGGTTTAAAGAACATATGAAATAAGGACACCAGATAAAATGAAGAGATACAGGTACCATAAAAATTGAACTAGCAGAGGTAAAAGAAATTCAACATGAAAACATTTAAAAAGTTTAAGGGAAAAAAAATGATATCTTCTCTTTCCAAACGGACATATTTTCTATAAGTTCTTTGTTTTCCTTCTTCTCATTATTAATCCTCTCAGATACTTCCTTTAAATTAGCTAAAAGGAGAGGAAAATAATACAAAGTTTATTGAGAAAACTAAATAAAATTGAAGTAACCCTAAGCATTTGTAGCAGTCACACATTATTTGACACTATGAACACAAATTACTTTTTCATTTTGCTATTCTGAATTAGAAGAAAGTTTTAGCTAGTGGCAATTCCAATCTAAAAGTCATATAATAATGAGATTTCCATTATAATGCTTTTCCTATGTAAAGTGATTTCAAAATGAGGACATACAATCTTCACCTCATTACTCTCCAATTAACAGAAGGTGTCATTCTTAGAAAATTGAGCATATTACATAGCTGTATCATGAGAAGAAATGAAACAAAAAAAAATCAAGCATCTTATCTACTTATATTTTTGTCATTCAATTATCAAAGCAAATAAATAGGCTCCTACCAAAAAA